AGTGCTTTAAAGAAATCGAAATAATGTGGATTTTTTCTTTTTCATAATAGCAAACTCTTTCCTCCCTGTACTGTACACTGCACATGGTGAAAATATAAGGGACGGCTTTTGACCAGTGCAGTGACCAGTGGCTAAAAGACATGTCTTATTTCCTAATCACTAAATAAGTACATCTGGGATTTCTTTATGGTTCAAAATTGAGTTTCCACAAAAATAAATCATTAAAAATGTTTTAGCCAAAGCAAATCACAGATTTACAGACAGTTCCATTTGGTCAGATATATAAATAGCGAACTCTGTAATAGGGTCACTAAATGCATTGATTCCCTCATTGATGTCCTGAGATCTTTTACATTTTTTTTGTGAAATAACACTCAGGCATAGTGAGTTTAATATTCCTCTTTTTATTTTACAAAGTCAGGATGCCCCTTACTGATACTAAATTATATATGGGTAATTCAAATATCCCTGTGCAGTCATAATAATAAACACAGCTGCTACTATTTTAAAAACTATTTCAATTCCATTTGCTCACCTGAAACCACCTGGGTGGACACTATTTCTGATTTAATGACTCCTAATTCTTTGAGAAATTAGAAATTTAATGTCCAAGTCCTTTTTCAAATATAATTATAATCATTCCCTCAAATGACTTCATGCATTTGCCGTGAAAGGCCTGCATATGCATTCAGTCTACAGTATTGTTATCAGATAATGTGGCTGGTTATGAAACGTATGCAACATTCTTGGTTTTACAAGATTCTCAATCAGCATTGACAAAACAAGTCCCTTTTGGAGCTATAAATGATTGATAAAGAGGAACCAGAACATTGATAGTGAAGATAAAAGAGTAAAGAACAATGGTTACATCTTTCAGTAGAGACCAAGTATTTATGCAATCTTTGAATTACACTTTTTCTATGTTTCTAGCAAGGGTAGTACAAATGGCATGTCAGAACAGTGTGTTCTTATTTGTAGACTATACAGCACAAAGGTTTAACATTACCCAAATGTTTTCTCATCTAAACATTTGTTGGATATAGCCATATATAACAAAAAATTGACCACATCTCCCAGCATGCAATGTAACTTTGACACAACATAGCAAGTTATATAAGATATATAAAATAATTGTTCAGCTTCACTAGTTTTGTAGCTTTTTGCTACAAAAGAAAAAAACCTTTAGCTCAGAACGAGTAGAGCATATATGCTGAGTTACATTTACTTTGCTTACACTTCCGCCAATAACAAAGGTGCAAGTTCACAAAGTTATTTGACCCAAAGAAAAAATAGATCTTTCTGCATTTTTCTTCAGCTACATCAATCATTTATCATGCATAGATAAGTAAATGGACTAAATGATCAATAGACTGAATTGTGATACATGTCTACAGTTTAACTGTAATCCTAAACCTTAATCTCTTCTCATTTTACGTGGGTAGTCTTTACCATGTTGATTTGGTGGGAAGACTTTCCTTTTATCTAATGTTCCACTTAATGTTGTTATATAGTCAAAGGTTGTTTATTTCATTTATTTTCAGGATGCTTCTTCTCTACACGCAGCACTTTCACAACACGTTATAAATATCTTTGTCGTGTTGCAGACATCCCTTTGAAAATATTCTTTTTTTATGTGCTTTTAAAAAGAAAACATGAAGCTTAAATGTGTGAAGTGACAGATCTAAAGAGAAAAGTAGTCAGTTACCATTTCTGTCTCTTTTTTGGCTTTTAACTGTTCCTTTTTTAAAAGGAACGCAGTCAGAGCCTCGGTGGGGAGCAGAGACCAACCGGTGGTGACTCTTCATCAGTGTTCTTTCACTTTGCTATTAGTGTAACCTACTTGACTGTCTTGCTCCTTCAAAACACAGAAGCTTCTAAGGAAGCAAACATTGTCAGCTGGTGTGGGCGTCACAGCGTAGATGTAACTAAAGGATTTGCCCATATTGCTATGGAGACAGCAGTATACAGCAGCCTAAAGAGAGATAGATAACCGTCCCCCCACCACCACCACCACCACCCTTATTGCTTTTTGTTTTTTAAGCTATTTTAACACTCTTGCACTGAAGTGTTCACCCTCAGGAGGTCTGCACTCTTCCTGCTGTTATTTAGACATATAGAGCCAAAACATCCATAATATCACCTCGCTTTAAAGTAAAACCTTGGTTTATTTGATTTTGTAACCACAACTCTTGGATGTTTAGATGTATGCTCTGTCATGTAACATGAAAATGTTTGTACATGTATTAAGAAACATCAGATGTTATCTTGTACTGCCTTATTGTTAGTAGATTATCCTAATGCCTTTTTTTACTCTCTGTGTTTTTCCAGGAAGGTGTACCTAATTCAATCAGTTGTTATTCTAAACTTTCAGAAGGCAATTTAATTGAATAAAGCCATAAAATACTTACCACTGTCACTGTTGTCATCTACCAGAATAATCTCCTTAAGCAGGTGTGCTGGTGTGTGGTTGACCACGCTGTGGACGGAGCGGAGGATCACTGACAGCGCCTCGTTCACAAAGATAAAGACAACCGAGATCTGTGGAAGGTCCTCTGGGTACGTCAGCTGCTTACACCTGATGAATAAAAGAAAAAAAGATAATTAGCCGCTGTCAAAGGTGTTTTGAAATAAACTTGAAGCTTGTTTATTCATTGTTGCAGCAGGAGATTTGCATGTAGAATTAACAGCACTGATGATGGTTAAGTAACTTCCCAATAAGCTATGGTGGTAAACTGAAAACAACATAATAAAGGATACACAGCTAGAAGCCATTTTTCTGCGTCCTATGCTTGAGTGTTTAAGTATGTCGGATCTTGTGGTAGCAAAATTGATGGAAACATTCATAAGATTATTTCGTGTTCTCATAATAAATGTAAGGATATTGCCTAAAGCCTTTTTGGCTGAGCTAAAACCATGAAAACAAAATGAGTTTGCAAGATTTTTGCTTTAGATTGCAATATTTATTGACATATTTATTTCTATGGTGCAAACAACCTTGATTGTACCCCCCAAAGCAAATGTGTGCATTTGTAAAAAAAGCCTTACTCAGCACAGCAGGTAGGCTAGTAAAAAAGAAAAAAAAAATTTTAATTTGAAGGATCACTTTTGTCAGGTTTGAGCAAAGCTGCTCTGCACCAGGAATTAAGTAGCAGAGTACTTTTCACAAACAATATGCTTTAAAAAAAAAAAAAGCTAAGCACTAACTGTACTTAATGCATCTACTGTTACTGATGTCTGATTCAAAAGTTATCAGATTTAATGTTTAAACTTCCAGATCTATTTTCTAAATAAGATCAGAGAAGTCAAGAAAAAACAAAAACAAAATCGGTTTTAGCAAGTCAAGAATAATTTTTTTTTAACAGTCAAGAATAATTTTTATCAGAATGCTAATATCATATATGCTAACCCCTATACAGGGGTTAGCATATATATATATATATATATA